CCCGGGATATCCTCAGTATAGTGTCGGATAAGCTTTGCTCTAGGTGTATAGAGCTATTAACAGGTTTATAGGACTGAAGTGTATAGCAGCTGTCCATAGAACCGCCCGATCTCCCTCAGTACTTCTGGCTTCGTGGACGCTACACTGCCGCCCTCGGTCTTCAGCTTTGTCAGCTGGCTCTGCCCAATAGACAGGTCCCTGGCGGAAACTTTGATGCCTTTCTTTTGCTCAATCGCTTCTTTAATATTTTTAGTATTAAAGTTTCAAATATCGCACCGCAGGGACTGGCATATCTGTTTGTTGAGCTGCCGATATGACTCCGTGTCATCAGAGGACTGCAGAGTCATAGAACGCATTTCAGCCATGAGGTGCAGAGTTCAATCGGTTAGTTTTAAAGGTCTGTTTTTACGACAGGGCTTGAAGAACTTGGAACCGACCGTGTGAACAGTTTCCACCAAACTGTTATTTAAGATTCTTAAATTGCGATTTCGTGGACGTTCTTAAATTAAGAACGTCCACGAAATCGCAATCTAGGTAAGCAAAGCGATTTGTGAGTTCCAGTTGGAAGCTTTCTGGGTTCTGAATATGGGTCGCAGATGGTCGGAGCGTACACTTCGCTAGGCAAGACCGCTCTAGTTTGACGTTTATATTCAATGTGACTCTGGCCATTCGATGATTGTTTCCGGTTTTTACTCGGTGGATCACGGAGACATCGTTGAAGCGACTGACACCAAACTGCCGCTAACTCGTGGGTGATGGGGACATGACATATGGGTATGCTACTATGCTAGGTTGCAGGAAAAGTAATAAAAGCATGTTGCCTCTTTAGGATTATGTCAGAAAACACTAAATAACGCGTTTAAATGTTGAATTAAACCGTTTTGCGTACAGATAATATTGAGTGAAAAATTGAAAAAATGTAACAAATTTTCAAAACTTTGACATGCGGTAGCGACCCCTAAAACTCGGCCTGACGTAGTCATTTTTTAAAAGTCGATAAATAAGAAGCACCCTATTCTCGCTCCAGTCCCACAGTATAAAACACTGTCCCGTGTCACCAGATACGCTGTCTACTCTTTTAAACAGCTTCACCAGTAAGAGTCCACCAGCCGGGACGTGCTACTTGGGTAGTAACCGCACACGGGGTGCACTAACCATTTCCAGTTCCCAAACGTGAAGTTCCCAACCTTCTGGCTATAACCCCAAAGGTACAAGCACGGCCCCGTGTGGACTATCTTCAGCAATGGAACTTGTTGGAACTCGTAATCGTTCCAGTAGGTCAAGTAGTCGTTACCGCACACAGGCTCAAAGACATCACATTTTGTATCTATTTTTACGACACACTTGCCCAAATATTGTACTTTCAAAGGGTTGTCCTCAGTGCTTGCGAATTCGAGTCCACACCGGTTGGCGTAGGTGACGTCGTCTGACCCACAAACTTTCCCTGATGCCAGGTAGTCCTTAGGGCATTTAAAGTACCTTTGTGGCTGGTTGCTGGTCTTCATTGGGTATAGAAAAGTTAATACTGGAATTAAAATAATAGATGCGTTAGTTTAGTACCAACATTCAATCAAAACATTGTGGGTATAAAATGAAGTCGCTTTTGCCCGTTATGACTTCGAATTCGCTGACTCCTCCTAAACGGGTTTTAACGCAATTTTTTGTACTAGATAGAATGATTCAATAGAAAAGCTCATATGTATAACCCGTACCGACAAATCTTCCTATTGTACACACGATTTAATTAAAACTATCATTTTTCACTTTTATCTAGATGGACTTCTGCAAAGTAACGCCTGATACTATAACCTAGTTAAAAAGAAGAAAAAAAACTCACTGAACACAGTAAGTGTTGTCCACCACTTAGCGCTTCTAGACATGATGGCAATTTGAACTAGAATCACTATTCTCTCTATAGTAATATTAGTAATGCGAATTTATAAACTACCTTTATAATTTATAAACTGCCTGCCCTAATAGAATTGCTTTTGTTTTTTCTTGTGAATAGGTTACGTTATTTAAATATTTCTTGTCACAAGTAAAGTTTATACTTAGCTCAGGTAGGATTTAATAATGATTTAAAAAGTTTATATTATATTGGTTATCCGATCATAGATTATTTTATTTTGTATTTAAAAAAGTTATTATTAGAGCTCAGTAGAAGAACCCATTGTTCAAAAACACAAATTTACTTTTGCTACCGCCAACCACTCTACTCCAAACTCCTACAGACTGTTTTGTCGTGGCCAAAGTTTCGGATAACTTGGCTCACTTACTAACCTATTTTTCGTACGGGGTTGCCATTTTAAAAGGTTAATTGTGCAAAAATTGGGGGCAAATGTGAAAAGTTGGCTTAGGGGTAGCGATTAAGTACTTACAGCAACCCTAAACTACCGACATAAAAAGGTACGTTTAATGACAAATCTGTAGCTTTCGCCTATTACCAAAAAAAGCTTACCTATTGATATATGGACCGATGAATTAAAGAGTGTAGATACTGGTATCGACTGGATGGTGAAAACGGAAGATGAAGCCTACTTTCTGCAGTGGACTGCTATAGGCTAATGTGAGGTGAAGTAAAAGTTATATCGCGAGTGCTTAAAAAGTTATAATTAGTTTAATAACTTATGGTTATCGGATCGTCATGATAATCACTTCGTATTGGGTATCGGTTTATTTTATCGTACCTATCCACATTCTTATAGATCCATAAACTTAAATCTGATAGATTGATTGTATTTTTAATAGCCACAGACACAAAAAAGTTTATACAAAAACAATTCAGGTTTAATTGTTTGCTGAGCAACATAATTTTCGTAGCTTTATTTCAACAAAATATAATTTAACCGACGTTTTACATTTCCATTGAATTTCAAACTGGGCCGTTAAAAAACCATGGTCCGGAAAAAAATGGAAATTAAATTATACCGGCCAGTCGACAACTGTCACATGGTGAATGAGTGAGTGAGTGAATGAACACAGAGTTCTAAATACTACCAGAGGGGAAATGTTACAAAAACTCTTAGAGCGGTTCTGCACTACGTCCGATCCGAATCTGATCCGAACCCGTGAAAATATTGTCCGTAGTAGCCGTAGAACTATTTCTATGGTTATTTACGCGCTGTACACCTCTTTCTATGGTTCATTATGGAAATATAAGAAAACTGAAAACTAATTGCAGAGAGCAGCAATTGCAGCTGCCAAAACGCGTGATTAAAAAGTACCTGTAAAGTTTGTCAAATTTTCGACCAGTCATAGAAAAATGCCACTGTCGAGAGTGGCGTTGTCTCGCAGTTTGCTACTTTTTTTAGACAAAGTTCCGTCCAGTGATCTCGTTGCTCTGAGTGAATGAACAACTGAATGATTGAATTAGACCCTCCATCACTCATCACTCATTTCGCTCGCGTAAACTTTTTCACATGACGAGCTTTTTTACCCGACTGCCTAAGAAGGAGGGTTCTTAAATTGTTTAAACTTAAGTGCGCCATTTTAACTTTAATTATATATCACACGGATTTTAGCACTTACATTTTGAGTTCAATCGCGGTAGGTATCCAAATGTAAGTGCTAAAATCCGTGTGATATATAATTAAAGGAGGGTTCTTTTTTTCGAGAGTAAATATTGTAGGTATCTGTGTAACTCATTTTACGGACTACAGCCTAACCGGCTAGACGGATGTTGTCATAATGAGGTGACGTTAGATTTGTCCCAGCAACGCAAGTGTCACTGGCTAAATAAAATTTTCATAAGCTCAGAATGGCGAGCTTAAAACGTAAAGTATGACTTTGAAATACCGCAGTCGGGTTTTTGTTTTTAATAATTATTCTTGTTTGAAAAATGATACGCTTGCTTTATTGTTCGTAAAATTTTCGGACGTTGAGTTTTTTGTGTGATTTTGTTTTGTATTCTGGTTCCGGGAAGTGATGAAATTGATTGAGTATTTTTAGCCATTTTTTATTTGTTTTCCGTTTTTATAAAATTAAAAGGTTTAGTTGTGTCCGGACTTTCTTTTTCAAATGGGACACCGAGTCGCCCAACGACCCGTTTAATCCTGATGTCAGAGTTTTTCAATCGTCTACAAGTAGGTAGCAGGCCTCTAATATGGTTGTGTAACAACCGCCGTCAATTACCTAATCATTAACAGCAACAGACTAGAACCACTTCTTAACTTGCCCTCCGAAGCACGGAACCATCTTGCTTTTTTGACAGTCAAGTGTTTTAACCACAGACTGGGAACAAATTCACAAATTGATAAGTATCAACTTTGTAAGTAACCCACCGGGAATCGAACCCGGAACGTTTCTCGTCACAGACAGTCACACTACTATTGCGCCACAGTGTCAATCAATGAGATGAAACCAAACCTTCAAGCTTCTGAAAATACGTTAGTTTTATCATGATTTTCAGTATTTGTATATATCAAACTTTTTATTAAAAAGCTCCAAAGCCGATTTACGCAGAAACTTTTCATACAACGTTGTTGTAATGACGGTTCTGCGGAAATGCGGTTATTTTCAGGTAAAGTAACCCATAATTACTTCATTCCAGGAACTTTATTTTGTTATGTGGAACTTTGAGGTGAAAAACTGTATAAAATATGTGAAATGTTGAAGTCCTGAATATTTATATACGTCCGACAAAAGTTTGAGAGTCATTCAGAAATGACTACGTATGACCATAGTGAAGGTTCTTAATTATAGGCTGTGGCTTGAAATTACAACACCCATCAACTCTCAAATCCTTTAGTCGCTTCATACGACACCCACGGGAAAGATATAGGGCGATGCTACTTTTAGCCAGCACCATACGCTAGGTCCTTGAACGAGTATAGGTTATTCCAAATTCTGCTGATGGTACGCATATAAGCTAGTAAGAAGAGAGTCGTGTGCAAAAACGTTCGCAAGATAACCGCCATTATTTTATTGGGGCGTTCACTGAAATATCACCCTTTAGCTCAGGGCTGGCTATGAAGAAAAAATAAGAAATAAAAAAAATGTCATACATCGACCGGGAATCGAACCCGGGCCGCATGGGTAAACGCCCCACCACCACTCTTTCACTGAGCTATCTATGCACCGGTTGATGGATGCCAAATTTTCAATCTCTTGATAGATTTTCTATCGTCTCCAAGCGAGAATCCAGCGACGTCTGTAGAAAGTATTTACGACTTTACTACTATACTTTAATAAATATATCACTGTGAGTGTATTAAAATCCCAATAGATTGGCTAAGAAGGGATTTTATTTTGGGGTGAGAGAATGTTTGTGCGTTTGTGCAAACCTCTGTCGACAATTGTCTCCAAAATCACAGGTCGGATTGTAATGCAGTTTTCAGTGATGGATTAGAATTTCATTGGTGTATGTCCTAAGATGAACAGGGATACAACAAACACAACTTTCCAGGGGGCACTGCAGTAAATACTTGCTAAATGTCTCCAAAACCATTGGTCAGATTTTGATGCAGTTTTCAGGAATAAATAAAGATTAGACTGGTGTGATGATGTTATGTGATCTTAAGGTGAACATTACGTCGCCGTGTGATGGCGATTGTGAAGTACTGTGTGAAGCTATTTTTAGTGCTAATTCAAGATTTAAGCCTCGTGGACTGAGCAAAACGAGTTTGACCTATTTTCCTTACACCCAGTAAAAACCGCCTGCCAGCCCTACCCTATCGGTGGCGCAACTGACATCCAAAATCCTTCCACGATAAATGGGCACCTTCGATACCACACGAGAACCCACCTTACCCCTTTACAATAGAATCTATAATTCAACCACAAATTACATGCCATCCCATAACCCCAGAGCCATTGAAATCTGGACCCTATCTTGACTGAAATACGTCTTATTTTAAAGTGACTTTGGGAGTGGAAATGGCAGGAAATCTTCGATTGTGCTCAGGACACAGGATTTCTTTGGGAATAAGGTATTTGGGTGGTTCTCGGACGTTTTGGAAATTTATAGAAAGATTCCTTAGGCAAGTCAAAAGGTTATAAAGTTTCTTGAAATTATTAAAAACCTTAAAACTTGTTCACGTTATAGGGTACTTGGCTGACAGATCATTTGAGCTTCTTTTTAAAACGGTATTTTGTATAAAAATACTGGCTTGTGACGTTGTGACGTCATTTACAAAGTTATTTTCATACTATTTTTCAATTTTGTTAGTGTTTCGTGAAATGTTAAGATGATAGTATTAATTATTATGCAGTTGTTTTAAGAGCACATCTTTTGTATTTTCGTAGTAATCCAGTAAAATACCCTATTGTAACGAAATGTTAAGCTGTAAAATGTATTCATAATTAACATTATTATTTTTCTTTACAGGTAAGCACGTTCACCTTTCATTAAGTCGTTTGAAGTCTATTAAAAGAAGAAAACAAAGCAAGTAAGCAGAAATTTTAAATGTCGCTAATAAGGATTCTTATTTACGTAAAAGCTGATAAACTTTCGAAAGCCTTTCTTATAAAATCACAAAAACAAAACCTACACGTTCTTAGAACAGTTGCTCAATTTTGGATTGTTGTTTGAATCTGACTTGAAACAATTTTCGTGTAATCGTAATTTGAAAGTCAAAAGCGATTTTCACACGCGTCAAAAGTAAAAGTTATCGAAGTATGTATCCGATTTATTAATTTTTTCGTATTGGACACTGCGACGTCCAACGACCCGATGAACCCTGGTGTAGTACCTAGGCCTAACTACCGACGTTTTCTAACTACCACCTTTGACAGACAGCATAACATGTCTTCCGAATCACGGAACCATCTTTCTTTCCGGACAATTAGGTACTTCAGCCTGCTATGTGCTAGCCAGATTAGGAACTAATTCATTTTATTCTTATATTCAGATAGGTACCTAAATATCAACTTTTGTGAGCAACCCACCGAGAATCGAGCCCGAAACCTCCTGCATCGCAGGCAGTCGCACTACCTACTGCGCCACATCAGCTGAGCGTAAGCAGTCACGATTAAGAAATAAGTTGTGCCTTTTTAGGGTTTCGTAGTCTACTAGAAACCTTTATAGTTTTGTCAAGTCTGTCTGTCTGTCTGTCTGTCTGTCTGTATGCCGCGCCCTCATATCTTCGTCAGTTTTAGAGATATCGACATGAAATTTGGTGAGAAGATAGATCGTGTTGACTCTAATATAGAAATGTTAAGAAAAAATTATATTAAATGTTTTATGGACCCCCTCCCATACAAGTGAAAGGGGGGCAAATAAAATTTTTTTCTTCTGTAATATTGAGTAGGGTATCGTTGAATAGGTATTTTAAAACTAAGGTGAGGTTTCTTTGAAACAAAGTCACTAAAATGTTTCTGTCACGAGATATTTTCTTTTAAAAAGGGCGTTTTTGACCCATAATTTGTTCCAGCTGTAACTTCTAAAGTATAAACGCTAAAAATTTGAAATAAATATGGAATATAGCTTACAATCTGAAATTACAATGAAAACTATAACGGATATTGGATCTTTAAAGGTTTCAGAAAAAAATGCGTTTTTCTATTTGCGGTTGGTCATCATACTGCTGCTAACTAACCAGCAATAAAATTAAGTTTGTAATGCTGAAAAACCTCATATTTAAACGCTGACTACGAAACCCTATTTGTGGGCGTGTCTGACACGCTCTTGGCCGGTTTTTTTTATTTTTGTTATTAGAGGTACAGAAAATAGTTCAATAAATAAATAGATTATGCAGCACAATGAAAATCTTCAACCGCAAGATCAATCCTGGAACCTTCAAAGTTTTGAAACATGGCTCCCATAACAATAGCGAAGTTACAATCCTTGATGCATGACCAGTCTTGTGGGCGAATAAATCATACAACACAGGCCCTTTCATCGGCTGTCAAACTTTGCTGAAACGTAGGGATGTGACACGGGTAATCGATTTTTTAATAATCGATTTTCTCTCAAGGCGCGAGGGAAGGGAATAAACCTCCAAAAGATAAATTCTTTTTCTAAAAGTCACGTAAAACAGTTTTGCTTTATTTGTTTCTTTTTTATAGGAAACCGGTACCATATAATATTGTTACATTAGGCGCTCATAATCTTTTTCTTATTGTAAGCTACTTACAAACTTTAACACTAGAGTTTATATCACGTCGCTTGTCTTCTCACTGCCTGACACAATTTGAATGAATCAGTCTGAATAAGGCCTGCTATTTGTAGTAGGCGGTTGAAAAACTCTGACACCAGGGTTCATTGCATCATTATACGATTCTGCATCACTTGAAAAGAATAAGAATCTGAACAATAATAGGCATTTAGGCAATCGAAAATTTATTACGATTATTTCGTATTCAAATTTCGATAACAGTTTTCCATCCCTATAAAAGGGCCAAGTCGTAAAGTTTCCCTTACCGTGAACAACACTTTTTGCGAGGATATCAGTTTTCTTATACAATGATTATTGAAATCGATTTTTATGAAATAACCGCTTACTGTTGCCCATCTCTATGAAAGGGCCAAGATAGATAGTTCCTCTTACCGTGAACGCCCTTTGTGAAGATAAGAGTTTTCATGTCCAATGATTATTTATTCCAGTTGTGTACGTATTATTTGGATTTCCCATGTGGATACTGTTGATACGTAACGGGACATCTCTCAGAATACTGATAGGGTGTTTTAGACCATGAAACTGAACAATTCCCACGGGAATTTATTGCAGTCAACGTCATTTTTCCCATAGTAAAGGCAGACACTCATCGTGACTTAGTATGGAAGGTTGATTTCCTTTTGTCATTTCCTGATTTAATTTTTTGTAGGAAGTTGTTCAGTTTCATGGCCTGAATCCACCCTACGTATATATTGTTGTAAATACATTCTATAGATGTTGCTAGCTTGGAGTCGAAATTTGGCAGGCATCGATAGCTCAGTGGCCCGGGCTCGATCTCAATCGATGCATTACATTTTTTAATTTCTTATTTTCATTTATATTATAACTTATACTGGTTCACCATAGTCATTAGACTCATTAGGATTAACCATTGTTACTTGATCACTTTAATGGTAGCTAGACCGAAGGAACCATCTTGCGTTTCGGAAAATCAGGTGGTTCAGCCTGCAATGTCCTAACCGGACTGGAAAAACATTCACAAAGTGATAAATATTAATTTTGTGGGTGACCCCACCGGGAATTGATTCTTGGCGTGGCAGGCAGTCAAACAACCACTGTGCCACATTGGCTGTCAAATGGATGCTTGACTTACAATACGACTCTTTCAAACATTGTCAGCACAAAAACCTCACATCACTTCAGCAGCACCACGTTCTGTGATCAGACGGTCCGCGTCAGCAAGCCTTTGACTGATTGATCGGCCCCACGGGACCTGCCGTGGTAATGCACGTAATTATTCTGTGTCGCTTAGACGTAGATAGATGGCGACACCATGGACTAATCCTTGCTATGTGTAACAAACTCGAACCCCGGCCTATGAAGGACTATACGCCTCCAGGCGCCGCGCGCCGGCCTCTGTTGTTATGAAGATGATGTCTTGAGTTCTAGTGTTCATAGTAACCCAGACCTCAAGTATAGTATAAATTAATGGCTCGTGATATAAAAGTGATGTCTAGTTAATTATTGACCCATACATTGTGTTTAAATAAAGTAATATGTAACCCATAAATTCTTTTAAAGGTAATTGAGACATCTCTGTACTAATCATTGTAATAAAGTGACTCTGATGAACAGGAGAGGGAAAAGGGCAGGAAACTGAGCTCCAAACGGGCCCCCAGTACTTCAACGCCCGAGGATTGTGGAAGCCCTCGCCAATAGATACCTTTCTGTATTCATGAACGCTCCACGGTCATTCCCACATAATCAGCCTTACGCATGCAAATTCTTCATGCGTAAAACTTCATTGTAAAAATAACCACTAGAGCGTCCACCGAATACAAACGGTAAATTATCTGCTCCCCCCAGAAGAAGGATAAATATGGTGAGACCTGCCGTCTCTGCTAATAGATGCGCCAAAACCACAGGCGCTTGTGGTACAACTACCACGAAGAAGTATAGGAATCATTAGATTCAGATGTCCTTTGCAGAACAAATAAAGTAGTTTAGAATAAACAGTCTTA